GCTTGGAACCCAATTATTAATTGGGTATTGTTTGATGTTGACAGTTCGGGAATCTGTCAATCAGCAGCTGGAGTGTACATGCAGGACTTCAGCAGTGCCAGGTGAGTTCTCCTCACTATATCAACAGGGTCTACGACACCAAGGCCGACCCTTTATGATTGTATCCTGGTTTTAGGATGATGCTATGCTATGTGATCTGTTAGATCCGTATGATTATCTGTATATATGTTAGTGACCTGGTTAGGTCGGTATCCTGGTTATAGGATGTTGCTATGTTATGTGATTTGTTAGATCCGTATGATTATCTGTACATATGTTAATGACCTGGTTAGGTCAGTATCCTGGGCATAGGATGATGCTATGCTATCTGATATGTTAGATCGGTTGACTGTTATATATGCTAGCGTATGATATGTATGTGCACATGTTTGTTTGATTGGGGGTTTGGGTTGAGGCGGTCCTGCTTTGTGCTGAAGGCCAACATACCCAGGGCGGTCCGGATAGACTACAGATCCAGGAGGGTATGATAGTCAGACCGAAGGCCCGGCGAGCGATCCGGATAGGCTGAAGGCCCTACGAGGCGGTCCAGACGTGCCGAAGGCTCGGAGAGCGGTCCAGATAGACTGAAGGCCTGCGAGGCGGTCCAGTCAGGCTGAAGGCTCATTATGCATGTTGTTCAGTATTTGTATTGATATGATATTTGTTCTGGTTAGTATGGGTTGGTATTTTGGGGGTAACTCACTAAGCCTTCAAGCTTACATTTGATTATTGTTTCAGGTATTCGGATGATCGCGGGAAGGCGAAGGCGTGATCGTGCACCTCCTTACAGTTTCATGATTGATTATGGGGATACTCTGATGTTTAAAATATTTTGAAAGTAAACTGTAATGACTTAATGGTTTTAAACGTTTTAAAAAGTTTTAAATTAGCTTGAATTTATGGGGTGTTACACTATCAAATCATTCATTAATTTTTCAAAATCAACACTAAGTCATAATATTCAAAACATCAGAGTTTAATTATTCAAAATGCAGAAGTCATGAGGGGAGGATGATGTGTCATCACATCGGGCCCTTCCCTTTCGAACCGAAAGTACCTGAATTGATAAACAAAAACTGTAAGCACAAAGCTTAGTGAGTTACCCAAAGTACCACATACCAAAACATACAAGTGTCATGGGCTACCCCCATGGTCTTTCCTTGCAATGTCGAGGGCCAAATCTCAGTCTTACATACAAGTGACAGGGGCCAGATCCTGGTCTTTCATGCAAGTATCACAGAGACAACTAGCATTCCACATAACAAAGTAATGGGTCGACATTGGTGCCTTCGACCCATGGATCTAGTGAGAAAACTCACCTACAAAGAAGATAATCGTGCCACACACTCGAGCTGCTGCTAAAACGACTCCTCACACTAAATATATCTCAAGAAAATAACCCTAATTAATAATCTGGGCTTTTATTCCATAATAAATGGTCCAAGCGACCCCACATCCTAAATAGGGGCAGAAATATCATTTCCCATTCCCATTCGGTCCAAATCCTGAAAAGCCCAACACTAATGATCCAAGGACCAAAAGAATGGCCCAACGTTGGAACTGGGTCGTACGCCCCACGTACACGTCCTATGCGAAAAGGGGTTCGGGGTCGAGGTGTAGTACGCGCAGCGTACTGGATTTTACGCCCAACGTACGCACCCTAAAGTTAAAACTCCCATTAAGGTCTTAATGCCTTAAGACCTTACGTCCAAATTTCAGATATGAGTTTATTAAAACCTCTAAGACCATAAAGTCGCAAACTTTATGCCCTTTCATGGCTATAAGGAGCCCAACACTAAGAACCTAACTTGCTCAATCCTTTTCTACACCATAACTCTTGCATTGGGACAAACCAAGATCCAAGCTTGCATTTTTATGACTTAAAATACCCTAAAATGTCTAAAATGACAGCTTAAAGGCTTTAGAGAACCTTATACTCACAAAGACCTAGGTTTTGGGACAAAAGGGAAGAAAATCTAAGCTTAACCAAGATCTAGATAAACATGAGCCAAGGTTGGAGCTTTATACCTCCAAATGGTGCACAATGAAGAGAAAATGTTGGATCCAAGGTCTTGACAGCAAGCCACTTCCTTGATGATCTTCCTTCAGAAACAAGAAAGCCCATGACTTACTCAAAAGCTCAAAATGCTCAAAATAGATTAGGGTTTGCAAGGTGGGTCGATTTTAGGGATGGAGGCTGATAAGAGGAAGGGTTTTAGGGCTATAATGGTGCTTATATAGTGCACAAACCCTAAATATTAGGGTTTGGTCCAACTTACGTACGCCGTGTGTACCATCGTACGCTCAGGGTGCACGTGCAAGACCAGGTACGCCCAGCGTACCAAGGTGTACACCCAGCGTACCCTGGTTGCACCAAAATTACGAAAATGCCATAAAGGGCCACTTTGCACAATAATCACTTACTAAGGGGATAAAGGATGAATACTTGGAAGAACTAGATGTTACAGGGATACTCTGATGTTGATTATACTTTTAAAACAATGTTTTTGTAAACACTTTATGGTTAATGGGTTGTTTTTGAAAAAATTAAATTTCTTTGATTTTTGGGATGTTACACAATGTTCAAATAGGAAAAAAATGAAAATACAATGCTATAATTGGGTTGATTTTTTAGAGTACAGAGCCTAATATGAAAAAATTTGAAAGTAAAATGTTGTAATAGAAAAAAATAAAAGTAAGATGTTATAACAACCAAATAAAAGAAAGTACATTGCTTTTTCTTGCATTTAGTCTATTTTTCAAATTTACAAACTTATCTGGCTCTCAACAAATTTGATGTTGGTGGTCTATTTCAGAGCTGGAGCACTTTGAAACTCGGTTTTTCCAGTCTAACTGCTATCCTAATTGAGTTACCATGAACCTACATAAGCTGGCATATGAAGCACATCCGGATGTGAAGCAGTTTTGAAGTGGTTCATATTTCATATAATAAGACCCATACATCAATGGAATGCTTCTACTATCTGTAGAGGGCTTTCTACAGCTTTAATGATATATGAAGGTGCCGTATTAATTGTAAGACTTTTTTTTTAATGTTTCTCTTGAGTTTATAGTTTACTTCTTCTTTTTAATAACTAAAAATGCTAAACAACTTGATATGCAACACGTACATACATACATACAGTTATATTGTATTTTTGTTTAAGTTAGTGGTGAGTAATTTATATGAACCCTACTTTTTTACAAGTCCCAGCCTATCCCTCTTAGATCATTAACTCTTTTTTTGTTATGGACCAAAATTCATGTTCCTTCTGACTCTAAGTATCTATGGTATTAGAGTCTTACTCATATTCATTGATTGTTTAAAGAAGGTTTGACACTATTCATCAAATATATAGTAAGTTTTTTTGATTGATTGTCTTTATATTTGATTACTATTACTATTTCCTTCATAAGTAATCGACATTTGTTCATATTTAATAGATAACAAAATAAGTGATATGTCAAATCTGAATCGTGTCTGAAAAATGAAGTATCTGACCAAAAGTGTTTGTAAAGTGTGAATTCTAAGGCTAAGGAGAGTGGTAACATTCTTGGCACCTTGTCACAATAGCTTTTTGGATGTCATATCATTTTTCTTCATTTAACACCTAATCTTAACATTTGATAAGGAGTGGTAACACTCCTAACACCATTGATGTAATTGATCCAAAAACCCTTTTACACCATTCAAACTCACGCTAATGACGCGAGTGATCTTCTTCTGGTTTTAATTATAATACATATCACTTTAAGACTCTATTCCCTATTTGAATAATGCTAGTGGATTCAATTCAATGTCACAATCCAATAAATCATTTTCTCAAATGGAAAAACGTTTTCTTCGACCATATTTTTTTTCATTCCTTCTCTTTTACAACATATGCTGTCATCTTTTAGCAACTTCACGTTTTCTTCATTTCAAATCTATTCACATAAGGAAAAAGAACAAATTTAAAAACGATAGTATTTCCTTACTAAAATATGTTCATCATATGAACAAATGTGTTTTTCGTTTTTTATCATAATCATTAAACGTGAATAGAGTAAAATAAAATAAAAATCAATAAATATTCGATTAGGGTAACTCGCAAAGAAGTAACACCCTAATGTGTTGGACAAAGGACATAAATGGGATTTCATAAATACTCCCAAAGTCCAAACTAAAATATAAACAAAAATAAAATACGAATTTACTAAACTACCCACTAGAGTGAAGTGGCGAGCTCTGTAATTTCCAAAAACTCCATTACAGTTGGCTCCCATCTTCCCTACCAAATTACAAAAACAAACCATTACTAATCCTAGGAATTACAAATATGCCATCTGCCTGCGAAATTACAAATATGCCCTTCGCTATTACAAGATTCTGGTTTCACTAGATCGAACCCCAGTCGATCTCATACGACGGATACTTCTCCAGCGAGAAATTCTCCGACCAAGCATTGTCTTCCTCCGTGAACTCCGGGAACGTCAGATCAGACGACGGCGATGAGTTTCCCGATCCGGCATACCCTTCGCTCTCACAACCTTCCACCTTCACAGCCTCTTGCGACAAAACTGTTGCTGTTGCTGTCTTCCCCGCCGATGACCGCCGTGAACCGGCCTTCTTAGTGCCGTCCACGGACTTCCCCTCCGCCAAACACTGACAAATCGTCTGTAGCTTGGCGACGACAGAAGAATGCAACGGCTTAAAGTCGGTAACGTAAGAGCCGTTTTGCCGAAGCTGCGGAAAGTTGAGCCGCGCGTAGTCTCCACGGAGCTTATACGCGGCTTTATCATACGCCAACGCCGCTTCCTCCGCAGAGTCGAATGTACCCAACCAAAGCCGGGTCCGGCTCTTGGGTAAACGGATCTCGGCGACCCATTTTCCCCAGTGCCTTTGCCTCACACCCCTGTAAAGCTTCGGGGGTTTCGGAGGTGACCCGGATTGTTTCACGGGTACAGGATCAGGATCTTGAGCCATGAAATTCAATTTATTCTGTGGCCATTGTGTGGGTATTTCCATCTGGGTTTGGATCTGGTAAATCTGGGATTCGGATAACTGGTTCAAGTTCAACCCGAGGGAAGAACCGGGTTGGTCGTACACAAACCGGTCTTGGATTGAGTAATCCGGGAAGAAACCGGTTTGTTGATGGGTGGTGGGGACGTAAGAAGAAGATGAAGGAAATGAGTCGAAAGATGAAGGGTATGGATAAGAGGCAGAAGGAGTAGAGAAAGGAAGGGTATTTTGGTAATTAGAAGACGCCATTTGAGAATGAGAATAAGAAGAAGAAGAAGAGGAAGGTGAGGCACTTTTATAAAAAGGTTCAAGTGCCTCCATTAATTCACCACCAGCTGTTGATTGCTGAAACTCATTGTTATTCCAGAAATCCATGGCAGTAGAAGCCATTAATCTACTTTTTTCAGATTAAATTTACAAAAAAAGATGATTTTCCAAGATTTAAAAGACCTGGAAAACCAAGAAGAAAATAAAAGACGGGTTTTTTTTTCAAATAATCAAAAACCCTTTTTCAAGAAACAAAAATAAAAAATAAAAAATAAAAAATCAACCTTTAGGGAACAAAAACAACCCAGAAAAGGTGATTTTAATCAAAAGAAATAGAACCCAATTGAAAAAGATGGATCGCTATTCTGAAAAACACCTGACTCTGTCTTTTAAAAAAAATAAAATCATATAAAGTTTGTTCTTTTGTTCATAATATTCTTGAAAATCATTTAAAAACAAACCCAAATCAATTGTAACTTTTTTTGCAGTTGAAAGACCAGATGATTTACAGAATGGGACATACAGAAGCGGGGATTACAGAGGGGGGGAATTAAATGAAAATTAGGAAAACCAGCGAAAAAAATAAAAGAAATCTTTTCTGTGTGTGCTTTTAAGTGTGTGTGTGTGAGAGGGATGTAGAAGACGAAGAAAAAGAAGCTCTCAAACCTCACTTTTGTGTTTGAGTAATCGGTGAAAGAGATATGGTTGGTTTTATAGGGGTGTAGGGGTGGGTGAAGTCTACTAGGTTAATTAACCTGATGAGATAACCATGGTTAGGTTCGCCTATTGTTTCTATTTTTGGAATTACATGGTGACGCAGGTTCCAGGTCAATCTGGTAGGGTGATGTGGGTAATAACGCGTCTAGGATATCGACAGGTGCCAGTTAAAACATGACACGTGCCGGTTAATATCTCTGTAGGTTGGTCTAGCTTTTAAGCTATGCCTTTGACTAAGAAACCGTGTTCACATTAAGTTTTTACCAAAACAAGAAAATATTAATATTCGAGATTTCTAGATTAGTAAAAGAAATTAAAAAGTACCAAAAGTTTTAAAATCATTAAGGGAGAAGGAGTGGTATCATAAGAATCATACTTTTCTTTATTTCTCATAGACACTATATCAATTTTATCATATTTTTGTGTGGTATTTGCCAGACACAAGATGTGGTGTACCAAAAAAAAGAAAAAGAGAGAAGTGCGGCCGATTTCTACTGTTGTGCGGCCAAACTGTATCTAAATCCGCATAGGGGGCGGTGTTCCCCTGCTACTGGAGCAAGGGTTGCGGCCAAACCAAACTCACTCCATTGAGCCTAATCGATAATTTTGAGTTTTGAATTCAGTTAGACACATTCTTTTTAATATTGAGAAATTGACTTCGTTAATTACTTTTTTATTTTGTTGATATTTGAGAAACTTTTTTTTACACATTTAGATAACGAACTTCTTGAAAATATTCATATATAACCATTATAACCGGTTGTAGCAATTTATAACGGATTATAATTGTCATATGTGAATATTTCCAACAAATTCGTTACTTATATGTGTACAAAAAATTACCAAAATGTGAACAAAATGAAAAAATAATTACCATGATAAATCAATTTTCCTTCTTTTTTATTAATTTATATTCTAATTTTGATTTAACATATAATTGAACCTAAATGGTAAATATTTTTAAAATCACACCATTTTGGTAAATATCTTTTTAAATACACTATTTTGGTTTTTTTTCGTTTTAAAAAACTCCATATTTGACAGGGAAAAAACAAATCGTTATTTTATAAAATTTTATTATTTAAGATATTAAATATAAAAAATAAAATTTGCTAAATACTAAAAGTACCAAAGATGAAGACTAATAACATGAATAACATTATCTTCAATGAAGTGTGCTTAATGTATTACATTAATTTAAAATACAAAAAATAGAAATAGTTTTTATCTACATCGATAGCATTGCTCTTGTCTAATATATATTAAGCTATTGGATAATTATGCTACCAAAAACGGTTGGATGGTCAATTTAAATGTTGATAAATGGTCATAAATATTGTTTTAAGGAATTTTACTGAATCTATTAATATTGCAAACATTTTGATCGTCTATGTAACACCTGGTTCTTGGTACGTATTCTTTTTATCAAATCTTTAAATGTTTAGCATTTTGGGTCTTGG